ACAGTGTTGAGGGAATTACTTGTTTAGCAGAGTGATGGCGTTTGGGGAAAAAACTGTCCTTGTGTCTAGTTGTTCTGGTGTGCAGTGCCCTATAGTGTCGTTTTGAGGGTGGGAGTTGAAACAGTTTATGTCCAGGATGTGATTTAAGAATCTCTTAGACACTATTGTTAGAAAATTATCAAGGGGGAGGGGGGAGATTTGGCTAAATTGGGATGTGTTTAGAGGTGAATCCTTTTGGATTTAATTCAACTGTCCTCCTGCAAACATTTTGCTGTAATTCCAGCATGGAGTAAGGCAGACCCTATCAGGTTATGAAAAGGAACCTTTTTAAAACAACAGAACCTCCACCTTCAGAGCAAGGTAGCTTTCCTTACCGTCAGCCAGGGGGAACAAATGGCAACTCAGGGGGGGCCGGGAGATGGACTGCGAAGCAAAATCCATTCCACGCTCCTCAAGATGCGACGAGAATTGCAATGCCAGGAATCGGGGATTTAGCGCGAAAGCAAAAAAAAACAAAACAGCTTTTTCCTAAATCGCCTTTGCCAAGAAACTCCTCCACAAAGGCCCTTGCTTACCTGCCATTGATCTTGGTTTTTTCCACAAGGGATCCCGGCCGGTGCATTCGGACGATCTGCTCGGGAGTCAGGCTAGTCTGGCTGACCGACAGCATCCGGTAGCAAGTCTCGGTTTCGGCGCTGTCCGAAAAGTGAGCAGGCATCCCACGGAAAGTCTGTTGCTCTGCACCTGGGATTACAAGAGGAGAGAGAGAAAGAGAGAGAGAGAGAGAGAAAGGATCAGGGGTCAGTGTCCAGCCCCAGGTAATCCTTGGTTCAGGGGAATACAGGTGAGCTAACTCGATTTACAACAGTTCATTTCGTGACCGTTCCAAGTTACAACAGCACTGAAAAGGGGGACTTACGATCAGAGGTGGGATTCAATCAGTTTGTTGAGTGCGCACTTTGCCCAAACCAGCTGAATCCCACCCCTGCTTATGATCCTGTCATGACCCCTTCGGAGTCTGAATCTGAGGAGGAAGGCGAACAGCGGACAGGGAGTGCGAGTGTGGCTCCATTGGCTGTGGAGGAAACCGGGGAAGGGCAAAGTCCGACTGGGCAGAGCAGGGGAGAGGTAGAACAAGGGAGAGGGAGTTCAGAGGAAGAGCCAAGCCCATCCCCTCTTCCTCCTAGGGCACACAGGGAAGAATGGAGCAACGTGGGTTGCGTGGCTTACGGGGGAGGAAAGAGCCCTGATTCCCTTCATTAGCCACATCTGGGAAGAGAGTTTAAAAGAAATGCATGCTGAATACGGCAGCTGCTGGGAGCAAACGTGACTTTATCTTGTGTTGATTTTGCTTATCTGTGTTCCTGGCATCCTCCCAACGGTGTGAGTTATTGCTGTTCCTTCATGTCTGTAATTCTTGCTCCTGCCCTGCCAGATTAATTACCTCACTTATAGTTTGTGTTGACCATGTTTTGGACTTGATTCCCTGCAGCCAAAGGTTGTTCCTGGGAGAGTTTCTCTCTAGCCCAGAAGGCAACCAGGACATTGGGGGCAAAGTTGGAGCCAATAAAGGGACTCTTCATGATTATCTGACTGTGTTGCCTTTGTGCCACGCCCCATCACAATCCTTTTTCACATTTATGACTGTTGGAGTATCCCCATTGTCACGTGATCAACATTTGGATGGTTTGGATGCACTTCAGGTGTTAAGTTAGTACAGGTAGTCCTCAACCTACGACCACAATTGAGCCCAACGTTTATGTAGTTAAGTGAGAAATTCATTAAGTGAGCTTTGTCCCGTTTTACGACTTTTCTCACCACGTTTGTTAAGGGAATCCCTGCAGTCCTTCAATCAGTCACACGGCTGTTAAGTGAATCTGGCATCCCCACTGCTTCAGAAGGTCATAAAAGGGGGATCATGTGACCCCGGGACATGGCGACTGTCATAAATATGAGTCAGTATGAAACATGGTCCTAAATCCCTTTTTTTCAGTGCCGTTGTAACCCCAAATGGTCACCAAATGAGTTGTTGTAAGCCGAGGACTACCTGTAATACAGTCGTTAAGTGAATCCTGCTTCCCCATTGACTTTGCTCATCGGAAGGTCACAAAAGGGGATCACTTGACCTTGGGATACGGTGACCATCCTAAGTACGAGCCAGTGGCCAAGCGTCTGAATTGTGACCACGGGGGAAGGCCGCAACGGTTGTAAGTGTGAAAAACGGTCATGTCCCCCCCTTTTTTTTCAGTGCTGTTACAACTTAGGTCACTAAACGAACTGTTGTAACTCTATATGTGTGCACACGAAAGTTGTGACGGCCTCACTTGCTGGCAGCCGGACGCTGGTGAGGTCATAACTCCGAGCCGTGGTCTCCTCTTTCTCCTTCTGCTTCCGTTTGTCCTTCTCTTCCGGCGCCCGCAGCAGGGACAGCTCTTCTGGGTGACGGATGGCTACAACGGGAAGTTAGCGAGAAGTTAGCTCACCCCGCCCCGCCAAAAAACCCCCTCAGGTCTGTTCCCAGACCCCAAACTAATCCTGGTTGGAGACAGGCAGGGTTGGAATCTGAAGGGAAATGGCTGCTTCGTCTATTTCCTAGACCCGTGATGGCAAAACTATTCCACATTTGCGTGCCAAAAGGGCGTGCGCATGCCTGCACCCATAGTGCAATGTGCATGCGTGACTCCCCCGCCCCCTGCGCATGCACATTTGACCCTCTGTGTGTGCACTGCAAATCTGCAACAAGCTGGCTGGAGTGGGTGTGCATGCATGTGCAGTGGGCCTCTTCCGGGTGACCTCTCGCTTGCATCATGGCAAAATCTCTAGAACCGTCAAGCCTACAAACTTGAAATTTGGCCCCTATGTTCCTCTTGGCTCCTAGGGGCTCACTAAGAAAGGATTTTTCCAAATGACCCTCAGAGCATTTAGAGTATTTCCTATATTATTATTATTATTAACATGCTCTGATGCTAAGGAGTTCTAGTCCTCACCTGAAAAGAAACCTTTTCCAAATACAAAACACAAGCAGAGGAGTTTCAGAACACCAAGCAGCTTTAGTACAGAACAACTGAGCTAAGCCACGCCCAGGCTCCTTGCTGTCTCCTTCTTGCTCACACTGCAAATACTGTTTCAGTTTCCAAACAGCCTCAACTCTCTCACACACTGACAGGATGCTAGCCAGATTTTATTATTATTATTATTACTATATTATTATTATTAACAAGCTCTGATGCTAAGGAGTTCTACTCCCCCTCCCCACCTGAAAAGAAATCTGCTCCAAATGCAAAACACAAGCAGAGGAGTTTCAGTTTTAGTTTCAGAGCAGCAAGCAGCTTTAGTACAGAACAGTTGAGCTAAGCCACGCCCAGGCTCCTTGCTGTCTCCTTGCTCACACAGCAAATGCTGCATCAGTTTCCAA